TATCAAGCAATAAATGAAGAACAAGTATGAAGGCAATGAATGCTAAGAGGGGCCTCGAGCTAGTAAGAGCGAGTAAGTTAGAGAGAGGAAAGAGAGAGATATTATTGATCTTGTGGAGAATAGTTGGAGCAACATCATCCGAGAGCTCTACAAAGTGATGGGGATCCCCTTTATATAGGAGGGAAATCTGTCATAGTACAAAATGTGTTAACTGTAAAGGCATGGAGATAGGATGGCTGGACGTGACATCTTGAAATAGGCCCCGGATAGGCCAGCCCCGTCAGATTAGGCCATGTACCTTGGGAACTCCCCTCTCGCCTGCTATAGCCTGTTATAGCCGTTGGAACGCGATGCCCTCCGGACCGATACCTGACGACCCCCGAGGGTGAGTCTCGACCTTGGCTTCGAACTTCGAGGAGCATGACCGCGAGACGACCCTATGACGGGGAAATTGGGTCCCCGGATTCGCCATATACACATTACAACTGACTTAACTGACACTTCTTGGCTCATTAAAAATACCCAAAATATTAGAATGATGTAAACTTTTCTAACTTCCATGGAATATTCCAATGCTGAGTGAATACCAGTAAAAATTGCTCACCAAAAGCAAGCCAAACGATCTTCACTTGTTTATATTCTATTTTCAGACCAAAAACACTAGTGCAAATTGACTTTAATCACTACAATCACTAGCTACCACCCCTATAGTCAAACCACAAAGAACGATTTGTCACTGTAATACTTAATTCATTTGACTTCACCTAACCACTACAATGACTTGACGCCCATTCTAATCAACTAGAAAGGCAACTGATTTGTGATTGCCGTACACAATCCATTGACTCAATTAGTATGGGCAAAATCATCTTTCTATAAAACCAGATTGTGCTCATTAATGCCTTAGTACAAAGAATATTTCAAAGAGTATTCAAACCAACCATGACTAAACCATGCCTACTGCTTCTTTCACTGGGATTTCTCAGTTTCTTTAGAGCTGCTTTTTGCTGTCCAATTGATCAAAAACAAGCCCTTCTCAAGTTTAAATCTGCATTCCTCAAGAATGCTGCTGCTGTTAATTCATCTTCTTCAGATGCTTTCTTCAGCTTTGCACTAGTGGACTGGAATTCCACCTCCGATTGTTGTACTTGGGATAGAGTCATTTGTGACTCTAAATCAAATTCTAAAGCTGTCATTGCTCTCTATCTGGATTCCCTTGTTTCTCTTCAATCTCTTGAACCTGTTGCGGTCACTTCTTCTGTTTTGGCACCCCTTTTCGGAATAAAATCTTTGATGATGCTTATCTTGTCCTCAAATCACATAAAAGGCCAAATACCGGGTGAAGGGATCGCCAGTCTTGGAAACTTAGTTCATCTTGACTTGATGCAGAATAACTTTACTGGCTCTATTCCTCCACAAGTTTTTCACTTAAGGCACCTCCAATATCTAGACTTGAGTGAGAATTTGCTTACTGGTGTTTTGGTTCCTGAAGTAGGATTTCTTCAAAAGTTGAGAACATTGAAGCTTGATGACAACTTTCTTGGTGGAAACATTCCCGTGGAGATTGGAAACCTCAGCAAGATTCAAGAATTGTCCCTCAGAAACAACCACTTTTCTGGTGGATTCCCACTTTCTATATTGAACTTGAAGGGATTGCGAGTGTTGGATTTAAGGGAAAATCTATTTTCGCAGCAGATTCCAACTGAGATGGGGAGCTTGTCAAATCTCTCTACTTTGGCCTTGAGCAAGAACAAGCTGACTGGTGTCATTCCAAGTTCAATAAAGAACATGACCAAATTGGAGACTCTTAAATTGGATAACAATATGCTTACTGGGGAGATTCCATCTTGGTTATTCCAAATGAAGGCTCTGAAAAATCTGTTTCTTGGAAAAAATGCATTGAAATGGAACAACAATGCCAAGATAGTGCCTCAATGCATGTTGTCTGGACTGTCCCTTCAGTCTTGCGACGTTGTAGGACTGATACCAGAATGGATTTCTTCACAAAGAAGTATTGATTACTTGGATTTGAGTGACAACAAGCTCGTCGGAACTTTCCCTCAGTGGCTTGCAGAAATGGAACTTGGAACTATTATTCTGTCAGATAACAATCTCACAGGTTCTCTCCTTCCTAGTCTCTTCCATTCCAGAAGTCTATCTCTTCTTGACCTTTCAAGAAACAGGTTTTCGGGGGAGCTCCCAGAAAACATGGGTAATGCTACCGCGATTATGATTCTCATATTGGCTGAGAACAGTTTCTCTGGAAAAATTCCGAGCTCCATCACCAATATTTATCGTTTGTTACTGTTGGACTTGTCAAAGAACAGACTTTCTGGCACAATTCCATTTTTTGATCCAACTTCTTTTGTTGCATATGTTGACTTATCCTTTAATGACTTCTCTGGTGATGTTCCTCTAACCTTTTCACAAGAAACCAGGATTTTAGCCTTAGGGGGAAACAATTTTTCAGGGAGTTTGAAGAGGAACCTGACCAATTTTTACATGCTTGAGCATCTTGATCTTCATGACAACAGAATTACAGGAGAATTCCCAAATTTTATCTCAGAAATGTCCACACTTAGAAGCTTGAATTTGAGGAATAATTTCCTACAAGGTTCAGTTCCTTGTAGCATTTCCAACTTAAGTAAGCTTCAAATACTTGACTTGTCACACAACAGTTTCACTGGAAGCATCCCTTCAGAGGTCGGAAATCTAGTTGGAATGATTGAAACGCCAAGTACGTTCTCATCAATATCATTCGTTTTCACCTTCTCAATTGAATACACTGACCTGATAGTGAACTGGAAGAGGTCAGTACAAGGTCTGTCATCGAGTGCCAGCATCGACATCTACTCTTGGCTGGACTTGTCAAAAAACCATCTTTCTGGTGAAATACCATCTTCTATAGGCAAACTTAGAGGACTAAAGATGCTTAACATCTCTTACAATGGCCTTAAAGGAAAAATTCCAGCAACTGTTGGGAATTTAGAGAATCTTGAGAGTTTAGATTTGTCTCACAACAGTCTCTCTGGTCCAATACCTCAATCCTTTACAAAGCTTCAACAACTCACTACTCTGGATGTCAGCAATAACCATCTAAAGGGTAAAATCCCAGTTGGTGGCCAAATGGATACAATGGATGATCCAACTTATTATGCTAATAATAGTGGTGGTCTTTGTGGCTTCCAAATTCAACTGCACTGTCCTGAAAACAAGTCACCACAAGCAATGGAACCAGAGAATGAGAGCAAAGAGCCATGGTTTGCATGGGAAGCAATGTGGGTAGGATTCCCATTTGGTTTCCTTGTATCAATTCTAGTCATATTTCTTACTGGACTTTTCACCCCCAAGAAGCTTACACAACAGCGTAGCCTCCTAAGAAGGCGCGCTTGGAACTGAAGCAATTGCACTTTAAATTCTTGAAGATACATAGTGCAGATCAAGAAGCAGCATAGAATTAGGATAGTATAGATAATGACGAGAAGAGTAATTGCCTCAGTTCTCTTACACAGCTGCAGTGGAACCTTTCCTGCATAATTTTACTAATAAATATTTCCATTATGAGACTACACTCTTTTTCCTTTTGGGGGGTACCTTGAGATGGCTATGAGGTTGCATTTGAGTACTAAAAACAATAGACTGACTGCTAATTCGAAACCAAAAAACCTGCTAACCCACTAAGATTTTAACGGCCTACCCAGGTCAGTAAAATTGCCTTCTTCTTTTCCTAATATAGTTCTAGTATGTGTGTCTACTGAAGCAAGGCTTATGTCTACCACTATGTTTAATTATCCTAAGTATCCTTCTAACTGCTTACAAAAATGGAAGAGTCGTAAAATCTCAACTGGAAAAGAAAGGAATGATATGCCACGACAAGTATTGGGATCGAAACAATATAGTGCATGCGGAAGCTAATAATGCTGTAACACCCCAGACTATAGACAGAGTCCCACATCGGCAAACCATAAGAGGGATGCTTGGTATATAAGTTAACAAGCCTTAGACCCTAGTGATGCGTTTTAAACCCGTGAGGGCCTAGGCCCAGAGCGGACAATATCACTAGCGGGCTGGGCTGTTACAGATGGTATTAGAGTCACTCTTGTGTCAGCCTTGCCGATGGTGGGTCAGAGTTCAACTGAGTTTAGGCAAATCCCGGTTAGGCGGGGCAAACCTCAATGCTGAGTCTAGGCAAATCCCATGCGGTGGGGCAAACCTCAGCAAGGATGCTGAGTCCATAAGAGGGGGTGTATGTAACACCCCAGACTATAGACTGAGCCCCACATCGGCAAAACACAAGAGTGAGGGCCTAGGCCCAGAGCGGACAATATCACTAGCGGATTGGGCTATTACAAATGCAACAAAGAAAAATATACTAAACTAGGCATAATAATTTATTTTGATTTGGTCAATCGACCTACATATGATCCATCAATAATATAAAAGATATAAAAGAGAAAATAAAATATTTGAGAGAATAATCTCCCCTAAACATGATTGTCGTAAAGACTACATTGTGGAGGTTGTTCTTGTTGTGCGAAGAAATGTCAATTTATAGAGTAAAAAACTTCTCGAAAAAAAAAAGGATAAGGCATAATGAAGGAGATTTATTCTCTTTAGTAGTTTTTTCCCCTTCCTTCAAGAAAGAGAGTCTTAATAGATTAGAAATTCAGGAAAAATCCTAACAAGAAGAGATCTACCAAATATGAAATTGAAATGAGCAATCTAAAGCATTTGCAACTTTAGAAATCTCCAAATTCTTGACGTCCAGGAAACAATCTCAGAACAAAACCACCCTTCAGAGCTAGGAAATCTTACTGGTATGATGGAAAACCAGCAAGATCTTCATATGCTTCTGACTTCTCACCGACAAAGCATGAATATATCGCAGCCTAAGCTCTTTTTTGAAAGAAAAAACAAATTACTACATGAACTATTTGATTTTACTGATAAAGCTGATCATTGGCGGCAATTTGTTTGTGAAAATGAAGAGGAATTATAACTTGTTACATCTTCAAAGTTAAGCTTGTTTATCCCTCTAATCTTCCTTTCATGATCAAAAGCAGTTTCACTGATGCACAATATATTATTGGTCTCTACAAGCTGAAACTCATTCTAAGTTTATTATTTGGAGAAACCAACAGAAACAATACAGGCTGCTTGTTCTTTGAAGTTTAACATGTGTGCACATAGCTTTTTCAGTAGCCTTCAGATGGAAAAAAAAAGGCAGAGCTAGTGCACGAAGTATCCCGCATTCACACAGGGTGCGGGAAAAGGCCGCACACCAGCGAGGTGTGATGTAGGCCTGCCCTAATGGAAGCATCGGTGGCTGATTCCACGGCTTGAACCCGTGACCTATAGGCAACCTTCAAATGCTAGAACCAGAAAACTTACTGCAGGAGAAAACAGTTAGTTTGTGTGTGGTTTTATTACTCAGAAGAATCAAGCAAGAAACATCAGCTTGGCTTCACGCTTTTACAACAGGGAACAATTGTCAGTTGACCTGAATTCTCACATAAGAAGCTTGAAGTGATCACAATCCGCAATGGCAGAAAAGTGATACATGAACAACCTTCATTCCCGTGTAGGATGTTCCCCAGATAATGAAATGTACTCAAATGAGGAGTCTAGCTTTGAAATGACAGCATCAACTCCGCTTCTATTAAAGCAAGGCATGGAAGAAATTCTCGATGTAAATGCAATAAGAATAGCAATTCTGATGGAAGCATGCTTAGGTGAGTGACTTTAGCGCCTGTAGCTTTTCTAATCATGAACAAAGTTCTCGTGCACATGAAGTCAATTCATCATTGTCGTCGGTTAGGTTAAACTGCAGCCCCACTTTGGAAGTAGTTCCAGGAAGAAGCTGGTTAATCAGCATCAAAGAATAATGCATAGACAATGTCTTGTCTCCTCTTCAGTATCAGTATCCCCCGTTTCACTGCAGATAACATCATCTTAACAGTCAGCTTACTATTTAAGGAACAACCCAAGAGGGAATTAAACTGAAATAGGATTTAGACAGAACACAACTACAAAAGTGAAAAGGAAATGACTAATGGAGTATTAATGTATCTAATTTATTTTCATAAAATAAGCAACAAAATCATTTCAGGCTCCTAATTTCTCTAGCATGATGTAAAGAAAATTCATCCACCAGGAAAGAAGAAAGACAGAATTTTTGTACTAAATGTGACATCTCAGCATGCTTCCTAAGTCTAGTCTGTAACAGAAGGAATGCAGCTACTAATTTTATGTTTCTGAATGGTTAGGTTGTTATGTGTTTCACATATTCCTAGAGAAGCAAGCATTCCCTCTTTCATATGATTAGAAAGCATTTGTACCGATGCCTGTACATGCCATTTTCCATCTTCGTGTCCAATCAACTAATTGTGCAAGATCAGTTCACCTAAGGACAGCTCAATAATTTTAAATTCTAAGCTGTAAATCTGTTCTACAAAAACTGCAATAAACGGGCTTTACATAAGCTCAGAACCTGACATCATCTCCCCTTATTATTGATGAGGGAGGCAGTTAGTAGTTTAAATGGTTAGAAAGTTGTTTCTACTTTCTAAAAAGTTTGCCAAGAACACCTTACTCAACAAATATTTTATATTAGTATAAAATTAATATAACCTAAAATTGTGCAAAACGCACTTCAGCAGGCTCATAACTCGTCTGCGTATCATCGTGAGCCAATTTGAAGGCACACGTCTTCCAGTTCAACATTATGACCCATAGAATCTTAGTCATGGCGATCAACTCAATTTTCTTATCACACCCTTTTAACTCTCCCCAGCCCAGATTCAAAAAGCCTCATACTCAGTTAAGTATAGGCAAAGAAAGTGTACATCAAAATAAACCCAGTTTAGCATCAGCAAACAAAGGCATAGAAGGTTAATGATCCAAATAATGCCACGTACAAAGATATCAGAACCAGCAGTTGTGACCGCGAACTAGCTATATATGGGCACATCAAGTAAACATTCTTTAGTATCAGTTACAAAAATCCTAGACTGCAAAACACAGGCATTGCACATTATTACTGTATTTATCATTGTTCACTCAATTTCCTATCACATCCCATGTCCAACTTAAGAAGTTAGAAATTTTTTCCCAAAAGCATACTAAATTAGAGCGCAGAACTTCATATTCCTATCAGATGCCTAATTTTTATTTAGTCTTAATTTGTTCAGAAATCCAAGCTGTCAAACTTCTAGCAGATAGATCTCAATGATATAAAAAGGGCAGCCCGGTGCACTAAGCTCCCGCTATGCGCGGGGTTCGGGGAAGGACCGAATCACAAGGATCTATAGTACGCAACTCGCAAGAGGTTGTTTCCACGGCTTGAACCCGTGAACTCCTAGTTATATGGCAAGGCTCCTTTTTAGATCTCAATAATATATCTAAGTAAATCCAACAACCTGGATCTATATTCTCCACATTTTGTCATATTTACCCCTTAATTTAAACCCCAATAACAGAATTAACAACTCAACTCAATTGAACAGAAATATGTTTTTGTGCAAAAAGCTGATCAAAGTTGAGCCAAATGTAACGCTGTTCTCAGCAAGAACATACCTGGATTCAAACTCCTTGATCTCAGTAAGTTCTTTCCCTATGTTATCCATCCATTGAACTCTCTTCTTGTCAATTTCCTTTGAAGAATTAGGACTTTTCCTAATACAGCTTTTAAGATCATTTTCAGGAAGTTGGTTTCCATCTAAAGAACTCTCTTCTTTGACCTCAGCAACAACAGATTGTTGATCAGAAACAAGTGTTGGAGTGACATGTGGGCCACTTTCCAGTTTCAATGGACCTGAAGTGTAAAGATGAGCAGCAGAGGGTTTACAGAAGCAAATAAATGGACAATGGATTTTGCAGAACAAAACCCTCATCAAACTGCTTTCCTTCATCAAGAATTCATCTCAACAATGACCAATAGCAGCCCATTGCAGACAACCCCATCTAATAGAATCCAAAAAAGATCCAATCTTTGACTTCATAAAGCAATTGAAACAACCAAATTTTCATACAGAAACAATTAATTAATCCAATTACACTAGATGACAAGTTTCTCCCTTGAGCTGACACTTTGTACACGGGATATAATGATGTCCCAAATTCCAAAATCCAGCAGAAAATTCGTGTGCTTCATCCAAGTGAAGAAGAAAAAACTACTGAGCAGCAGAAAATAAAATAGAAAACAGAACTAGTGTATATATTTAAGAAAGAAGCAGAACAAAGGAGCAATAGTTTTGGAATTTGGAGGGGTTCTGATTGTAAATGAACACCTCTCAATCAAACATCATAATGTCCAGAAATTCTGCTTCTCTATTTTTTTTATTCTTGAGACTTATTTTAATGAAAAGAAAGGGACGTGTCCTGTAGTTACCTACTACTTTTTAAGAGAGAGAAAACAAAGGTGTTTCTGTATAATGATCAGTGGCGGAGCCACCTTACAGGGGCTGTCAAAAAAATTTAATGACACCCTTTTACGGAAAAAAAAAATATTATATGTAGTTAGGTAAAAAAATAAATTTATATATATGTATAATATGTATTGAAATATTTATTGTTATATATTTTGACACCTCTTAATAAAAATTTTAGCTATGTTACTTGTCACTCTAATGATGAAATGACTGTCCTACCCTCTGATGATTCATTGATGTGATTCATTCAGTTCCTCACAAGAAAAAACAAATCCGAATAATGGAAGGCAGAAGAATTCTATCTGAAGTTTGAGTTAATTGTCAGAAGGAACAAAAAGTAAGGTAAAGCTTAGCTGGAAGAAAATACCAGCTGATTTATGAAGAAGCTGCATACCAAATTTCATAACACTCCAAAAACATGGCAACTGTACCCTTCCCTGTTTATTTAAACTACCACACAAAAAATACTGAGATGTCCCTTTTGAAATCGAAAGCTGCTTTCTTTATGGTGTTAGTAAGTATTTTCTTAAAAAATTGTCACCAACCACACCATGATAATAATATTTATTGTGAACATCCACTCATGTGTGATTTATAAATAACTTGGAACTTTGTACAAACAAACAAAGCTTTTAAATAAAGAAATGAATAGGGATCCTCAACAAGGTCTTGGGAAGATTAGGTCAACAAGACAAGATATTGTACAAGAAAAAGAAGAATATATGCAGACACCAAAGACAATGTTAGAGTTTTACTAAAAAAGATACATAGTGGTTTGCATGATGTAACCCCACTTTAAAAGTAAGCTTAACCAACTTTATTATTAAGTATATTTAAAGGGTAATAAGATAATGAGATTTGTCCCATTTGTCTGGTTGGTTTGGAGTGCGGTCATTCACACGGATAACTTGGGATCGATTTCTTCCTCAATGTCTTCTGGGTCTATGTCTGTCGCACGGTGGTTTGTTTAGTGCGGTTTACATTTTCTATGTGATTTGTAAACTATTATACAGTAGGGGTTTATCTAGTGCGCACAGAATGCTTACACGAAGAGCAGAGACTACTGTGACGGCGGCAAGTTTTCGTGGGGTTCCAAAATAAATAATGAGATTTGTGACTTAAAACAATACCACAAGTCTTGAGATTGGTGCTTCTTTTCGTTTTAGGCAATCCATGGGGTGGGGATCAACTTAATTGATATCCAAGGTCTTTGCATGATATATAGTTCTTACTTTAACTTTCGTGTTTCCTCTTTTTTGTTTTCCTTTCTTTTCTTGGTCATATTGATTTCATTTAAAATGCTTTTCAACAGAACCTTTTTTCCCTTACATTTTATAATAATAATCTCTATGTTGATTAATATATGACATATCAAGGTATTCGAATTCGATTGGTGGGTTATGCAACCTTGTGTGAAGCCAGAGAACAAAAGAAAAGAATCTAAATATTACTTTGAAAGGCAAACTATTTTATAGGGCATAATATTGAGGTAGCACCAGCTTTCCCATGCATTACCATCCACCTGAAAACCCAAAGGAACCAAGATAAAAATGAAAAAGCAAATAAGGATTTTGCATTGGTTTCTTCTCCTTAATTAATGGACAGGCAAAACTTTTTCATTGTTCCATCGTTGTTCTCACTTTAGGAAGGCAGACAGTAATTTATCAATACACTTTTTCCTGTCCTGACAATATTTCAAAGTGGACTATGGCTGGAGTTTGGACATAAAAATTATAATTTTTGGAAAAAAGTAATATTTGAAGTTAAGTTAGAAAAATAATATTTGAAATTTGAAATTATGTTTGAATATAAATTTCACTTAAAAAATATTGCAATTTTGTGAGTGGGGAAAAAAGGTTTTCTGAAAATTTTGATTTGAAAAACTCATTTTCGAAAAAATTCCAAAAGCTTACAAAATTTCATGGACAAACATATTTTAAAAAAAAAAAACATACAAAAAAATTTATGAACTAACGGGGCCTTGATACACCTTTGGTTTTTTTGGATTCATTTCCCATGTGGCTTTTTATTTTATTTTTCCTTCTGGCAAATGATTTCATTTTCATACAATCTGTTGCCATTTATTACGTTCTTGTATGTTTTTGATTTTTCTCTAAATTTAGATTCATTTCTCATGCTGTTACCATTTGGAGATTAACATCATTTCATACAAGCTAGAGCTACTTGTCATGCCGTTTATACTAGACAATATTGATTTCTCTCTTATGACAGAAAAGCTAAAAGAAGTTAGCAGCCAGTTAGTTGAAACTAGCAAGTATAGAATTTCTGACGAGAGAATGGCAAGTGAGGTTGTATTTTTTTTTTTTTGGGGGGGGGGGAATGGGGGCGGCATGAACAGAATTATGTGTATACGGTCAAAATCGAGCTTGCCTTTTTTGTGCGAATGATCGAGGCAGGGGCATGATAAGACAAGGATTGGCTTCGATTTATATCATACTATGGTGCAGAGTTAGGTTGTCAAGGTCGAGACCCTAGACCGATTAAAATCGAGACCGACCAAGACCGAGATCGACCAAGATCGGATCCACAAAAAGATGGAGATCGAGGGAAGTTTACCGGGTTGAATAACGGAAAGACAAAATATCTGCAATCGGGCGAGGATCACGGTGCAAATCCCAGCATGTATCAAGAGGGGGACGATTAGCCAATCATGGAATTTCTCACTCTATTTGGAATTGTACCAAGAGTAGGACTCCCCTACTATATAAGGGGGTCTGATCATTTGTTAAGGGCATCATATTCACGTTACAAAGGCTATATATTCACTTTCTCTTAAGCTCTCAATATTCTTGTTACTGTGTTCACACTTACCGGCGAAATATTCATTTATTTCGAAGGCAGTCTAGCTCAAGGATTAAAGCTATACATTTTATTTGGTTTGTTTCATTTATATTTGCAGTTAATTCCATTGTCAATTTACCTTTTCTCTCAATTTGTGCTAAGTAAATCATGTGTCCTTAAAATCACAGTATAAATTCAATTGTTATCCCTTTTTAGGGTAAACAGTTTGGCTCCCACCGTGGGGCTAAGGATAATAGTGATTGCATGGTACAAATTTTGGTAATACACACTATTTTACGCTTGTTCTTTGAAGTGTCTTTGATTACAGGATTAAAAGATGTCGAATTCTCAGCCAGCACCTCAACACATTGACAATGATCTCGGCCACCACGGCAAGAATGAGAACATTGCACCAGGAAACATTGTACCCCCTACTGGCCTCGATAGAGTTCCGGCTATAGATTCAATCGGCGTCAGCTCGCATGTGGCCAATAATGGAAATTTGGCCATCGATCCCAAAAGCATCGTTCGTGGGGTACCCGATCAGTTGCTCAGAATGCACATGGCAGGATCAGCCTGCGCGTAATCTTCGAAATGGTGCAGTCCCAACAGGCAGCAATAGCTCAGCTCCAAAATCAAAACCACACGCCAAGCAGGGTCGAACTCGAGCGATCCCAAGAAGTTGTACACGGGGTCGAATCGGCTTCGAGAAAATCAAATGAGAAGGAATCAGAGACCAACCCTGCTATTATACAGATACTCAAGGAGTTGACAAAGCGAATCGAGACTGGGGAAAAGAAGATCGAGGAAAACGATACGAAGGTGGAAACCTATAATTCCAGGGTCGACCAAATCCGGGGGAACCTCCGATATTGAAAGGTCTAGATTCCAAAAGGTTTGTACAAAAACCTCCCCCCCCCTCCAAGTGCAGCTCCGAAGCCAATCCCCAAGAAGTTACATATACCCGAGATTCCTAAATAATGAGACGACTGATCCAAACGAACATGTCATTTTCTACACGTGTGCTATCAAAGGAAATGACTTGGAAGATGACGAGATCGAATCCGTCTTATTGAAAAAATTGGGGAGACTCTATCAAAGGGTGTTATGATATGGTATCATAATTTACCACCTAATTCTATTGACTTGTTTGCTATGCTTGTAGATTCCTTTATAAAGGCACACTCCGGAGCCATTAAGGTCGCAACAAGAAAGTTGGACCTTTTCAAGGTAAGGCAGAAGGACAATGAGATGCTTAGTGAATTCGTATCTCGATTCCAAATGGAACGAATGGATTTACCACCGGCCACCGACGATTGGGTCGTTCAAGATTTCACTCAAGGTCTTAATGTTTGAAGTTCAGTAGCTTCACAACAGTTGAAGCAGAATTTGATCGAATACCCAGCTATCACTTAGGCCGATGTACACAATCGGTATCAATCGAAGATCAGGGTCGAGGATGATCAATTGAGGGCTCCCTCTGGGTCCGTTTATCCTAACATGTCCGTGGATAGAATCAAGAGAGATATCGATCGAGAACCGAGGTCAAAAAGAGATCGGTATCAACCGTATAATGGGGACCGTAGAGACAGTGGATCTGGGCAAAATTCTACACGGAATGAGAGTAGAAATGATCGAGGTCAAAGTTCACGGGGACTTGGTACTGAGGAAGGTCACATTAAACATATGAAATCCAAATGAAGGTACAACCCCATTTCAATTCTTTCTATTATTCTACTAACACTTGCAGGTTATCGACGAGGAGTGGCACGAAGCTTTAGGTCTTAAAGCACGCGTTGCACTGTTTTCCCTTGAACCATTTTTTGTCCCAATTGGATTTTTTCGCAAGGTTTTTAATGAGGCAATAACGGATCGTGCTAACTCAAAAATCGAAGGTCAACCACGAATCGGTGTCAAAGACAGCATTTAACAGTATCCGAGGTTCCATACAATAAACCTCGAATACTGAGAGGCATTGCCTTTGGATGTTAACTTTGTTGTGAGGAAATTACTTCATAATAACGGGGTCTCGATAGGGCCAAACGGTTGAACGAACCATGCCCAGATAGGTTGTTCGAGCCCTGGCTCAAAACATGTACGCATGTGCAATCATTTTTCATAAGAATAAAGAGAAGTATTTTTCCTTGCAATTATTTCATGTCTTAGAAAAAGTTTTTCTACTTTAC